TCCCTTGTCTATTTCTTACACTCGATACCAGCCGATACCCCCCCCCCCCCGCGCGCTCATAGAGACTGCGTACTACAGTTGATTATAGTTCCTGGACTCCCTGTGATTTGACAGAGAAAAAGAATAGGCAAATTTAATTTTTTATAACATTACTCCTCCAGTGTTCCTAATAGTTACGGAAGAAACCTACACATAATTGTCGCAAAAGTTGGCCATAAATCGCATGACAATGTTCATTGGTTTATTAATTACAATCGTGAAGAAAATGTCCCATAGCACAATGTAATAGCATTTGTTTATGTGTTACAGTTACATTTTTTGAGAAAACTGTCCATAGTACAAAATGTTAAAGGAGTCTTAAAGCGTTTTTCATATTTATTAGTATCAACCTGCGTTTCGGTTAATGCACTAAGCTAGACCAGTATGTCAAATCACGGAGAACCTCCTAGAGCGACCACGAACAAGGCACGTTTGCAACACATACTAGTAATTAGAATAGAATAGAATAGAATAGAATAGAATAGAATAGAACAGAATAGAAAACTAACCACAAGGGAAATTCTTAAAATCGTATATAGGATTATTAGTGTTACAGTTGTACTCTGAGATGATTGTTGGAATGTATGCTGACAACAAAGTCAATTTTATAAAAGTCAAACATAGCTTTACAAACCTGCCTAGTAATAATATCTAATTCATTGCTGCATTCAAAAGCAGGCAATATATGAATAGCCAAATCCAGTAACACACTCCTACCCGAGGCATTCTTGGTCAACAAAAACGTAAAGAGCAAAATGTACATAAACATGAATACCTTTATGGCGCGAACCACCAAGAACTAATATATCTACAACAACCAATAACATCAGGAAGCTTAGAAAGAACTCCCACGTGCTAAGGATATTGGACAATTCATTAAAATCCGATGTAGGTATGAGGCTCCAAGTTTTTTAATATTTATTTGTATTTTAGTTTGAATATGTCGATTTTTTGTTTTTCTTGCCATTAATCAGTTTTTAGAAAATCATGTCCCAGTCTTAGAGGCGACTGGGAAACGGTTTTCTAAGAACTGATTAATCTTTTTTAGTAACCGTGCGTGCGTGTGCGTGTTTTGCGTTTTAGGGACCACGATGAGGTATAAACAAATCCCACAGAATATAATACAGTTTAAACCCTGTATCCTGAGAAATTTAAATTGAAAGACAAACTGACTTCACAGAGAAATAATGCTTATTTGAACTTTGACCTACTATGACCTAAAATGGCAGTTGAAAACAGTTCGATTAATCCCAACAACTGTGATTTTGACGCCAATGGTGTGCACGTAGATAAACACTAGTATTTCGAAATGACCTTACTGTGGCATCAGCAACTGGCCTCCCCGTAGAGGGCGATACAAAAGAGCGTTCGAATTTGAATCTACAAATATAATTATTTACAGTTACCAAAGTTTATGGTTAATCTGAAATGACAGTACTTGCTAATGAAAATATGCAGTAGCGGGAAAATTATACGTGGTTCTTTGGCAATGAGAACTGTATAAACAGCAATTGGCTAGTATAGTGTAAGAACCAGACAACTTGTCGAATAGGGTAGTGAAAAAGTTCGTGGATGTGTAGACTATAAAATTACCTAGTTCGAAAACAAATATTTTTATGAAATACATCGTAATTTTCTCTTTAAATCTTTAAATACATTATTTGAGAGATGTTGGTTTGATTTTAGAATTGATAAGAGCAACACTGACTGTATTTTTCGACCCACTGTCGCAATGTACTTACTATATTGTGATTTATTTATTTATTGCTGCTAATTGTATCTTTTTTATGATAACATAATAACATAGACGAGTTACCCAATAGTGATTGCGCGTTATATCACATTGTTACCCACAATGCTAACTTTCTCTTTTAATGTACACCCAATGTTTTTGTTGACAATTTAACTGCAATTAAATAATGATTGCACCCTATGTTTTTCATGTAACTTTGCGTTGATCTTTATTATGTAGGTACGTTGGGTATATACTATATACATGTTTTGATGGTCATGTGACCATATTAACATGCAAATATACCAAATTATCATATCATGACAACATGATGTAGCAAGTTAGGAGGGAGTGTAATGCAATAATAACATTGAATACATTCAATAGGTTTTACTGTTTAGTAATATTTTGTCTACTAGCATTACCTAACTGAATATCATGTTTTTTTATGAGTTATGTGCAGCTTACTTCGACACGAATCACGTTAATTTATGTGATGAAATCAAAATACTCATTACTGCCATACATAGTTTTTGGAAATGTTTTTTGTTTGTTAATAAAATCAGTCTGAACTTTCTGGTCTTATTCTGTAGTCTACATATGTGTGCGGGCATAATTAACTTCACATTGTTTTGCCATTCAAATGATGATAATGGGGGGGGGGGTAATTTTTATGGTAACACTCCGTAATAATATAACATTTCTGCAAGTCTAGAATTATAGCTTGGGCGTGACCGCGTCAACCATTTACATTTTAGTGAATATTAATTTTCCATGAGACAACATCAACAATGCAATTTAGAGGAAAAATAAATATCCTCTGTTTTTACACCCTCCCCACACCGTATCATGCTTAACTCAATTTTTTTTTTTACAGTATTTCAATTTTGTGTAGTATAAGAAGATAACAATCACCTTATGTATGTATCCCTAAGATTGTCAATGTATGGTTCACCCACTTTTAACTAATATCGAAATCTCTTTTCAGGCCAATATTCAGGGGTAAAAATCCCCATCTCCAAACTAAAAGATTTTTGTATCGAACGATCGATGTTACCCCTAAATTGCATAATAATATTTTGACATTTTAGTGTGTCAGGGAATTTCGGGAACCACTAACTAAATGTTTAATATGAGGTTACACAAGGTCCTGAAGTTAGTCAAATCAATTAGAGTAATTTTTAAAATACGGA